GGCATTGTGTCGATATGTACAGAGGTAGGAAGGGAGGGAGGAAGGAAGGAAGGGGAGAGGCAGTGAAATAAAAGGGCCCCGAAAGCCACTTTATCCTACCCGGATGTCTGCCTGCTCGCCCACAAGGAAGCAACGCGGTGGTGGCACGAGTGGTGTCTATATATCCATTCATATATAACCATATGTATATTCCTGGAACTTCCTTTTTTTAAAGGAGTCGACAGGAATTGCGTTTGGCTTCCATTGTTCCATATTTTTTTTGGTTTTTGTCAGGGCCTTGAGTGCTTGTCATGCAGCACGCATCTTGAGATTTATTTTTATTTTCCCACAGGAGACAGAAAGAAAAAGTGCTCTTCTCCACCCCCACCGTCTTCCCCCTTCTCCTCCTCATCCTCCTCCGCTTCCTCCCCTACCCCTTCGCAGCCCTTCCTTCCCCTTCCATCATACCTTCCACCCCGACAAAAACCCCATTTTCCCCCCGAAACACCCGCAAAATCTTCACCACGGCTCTGGGTGGGATCCCTCCATAAATATGTGGGAAGGTTTCTTCCCCTCCCTCCTTCCCTGTCCTCCCCCCCCACCCTCCCTCCCTCCCTCCCTCCCATGCGTCGTCAACGCCTCTGTGGCTCCCACAGGGGCAGCTGCCTCCCACTTGACCGGGGCTGAGAGGAGGGAGGGGAGGAGGACGAGGAGGAGGAAAGGCTCAGGGATGGAGGTGTAGAAGTGGTTGGCGATGGGAAGGAGGGAGGCGGGGTCGGCCGTGGCGTGGGTGAAGCCGTCCTAATGGGGGGGAGGGAGGGAGGAAGGGAGGGAGGGAGGAAGGAGGAAGGGAGGGAGGGAGGGAGGGAGGGAGGGAGGGAGGGTCATGGAGGTGAGTATGAAAAATGTGGGGGAATGCTGAGAGGGGATAGAGTAATATTTGTCCAAAGGAACAAGACCTTGCCCTCCGTAGAGGACAACGTTGATACAGGCAAATATCCCTTCCTATTCAATCAAAGCATTCACGGACCTGCTGGTATGTCGGAGGGAAATATTCCGTGTCGGCCTCTACAGCCGCTGTCCACAAGGAGGATTGAACGAGATGGTAGAGGGGCGTTTCGTCCCCCATGGATATTGTTAGCAAGAAATTTGACGGTACTGTGTCTGGTTCGTGCCTGCAGGGAAAAAAAGGATTTATCGTATCCTTTTCAAGTAAAAAGATAGCAATTAAGAAACGCAGGAGGTGTGGTTGCGCACTCACACGAGAATGTACACCAAAATGAAAAGAGGCCTCTCTTGTGCATGTAACTCCCTCATGTATGGTACTGGCGAGAATAAGGAGGTTTATATCCGACGGTTGGTGGATGCTAAGACATTGAACGCATTGCCGTCGTCTCCCCGACAAAGAACGACACACTAATATAAAGGATACATCCACACCGCTTCCTGAAGGAGGAGGACAAGTAAACCGCGCCATTCATGCGCTTTTCCACCGTCCACGACACCTGCTTGCATGAAACGAGGTTGGTTTCCAAAATTCGGCTACCGCAAGCGAGTCTTGTTTGGGGCACATATTATTTTGTCTCGTGGTTGGTATGTTCCCTCCTTGCCTGAAACCATGCACATTGTTCCTCTCTTGGACAATATGAATCCGTGAGACATGGATTAAAGATGCCTCAAGCCTTCGAGGATCGATAAATTGCGCGGTATACGCTGAACAACGGCTGGATTTGTTTTTAAGGCTCGGCGCATACATTATTCCGTGGTGCCCTATAGTTCCTTCTTACCCTTAGTGCGCAGACATACCGTTGCCCTCCACGCTTTATCTCCACACTCTTTCCCATGCGTTGAGGAAACATTAGTTGAAACACCGTGGCATCCTTCAAAATGTACTGCTTGACATTGTCAGTCTGGCCCGTGGTCATGAGGCGAAAACCATCGTGCGAACGAGCTCAGCAACACATGAACAGGTATGAAGGCTTTGTACCCTCCGAAAGGATTCTCACATCGAACCAGACCTCACCGCATTCCCCAACCACAACCTGTTATTCTTCACGCCATCAAACGTATGATTGCGATGCGACTTGTTAAACGAAGTCACTGATCCATCCTCGTGCATATCCTGGTGCGCGCTTTACTCGATGAGCGATCGCGAACTCTTTTCCGATGGTTTTCCGTGCCCGACGGCTTACGAAGAAATGCAACGCAAGGATAAAGACAATATCATAAATCCTTTCCTCCTGCGACGAGGGAAGAAGAAACAAAGACCCGTGGACGTGTTCGGACGTGCACTTGGAGGGTATTCCACTTTTGCCATCCTTCCAAAGTAATGTTTGCACAATACGGTTACCACGTTGTACGTCACACCCACCAGCACCCACCTCCTTCTCCATTCTTGGCTTCTGGCAGATGGACACTTCCTTCTCCTACATTTCCTTTTTTATTCCCCGTGCAAAGTATATCGCACGTTTCTTGCCGGTCGCTCTTTTTCGGCAGGGACGTTCTTTGCCTTTTTCTCGTTCCTTCGGACGCCTCCTCCCCCCCTCCCTCCCTCCCTCCCTCGTCGAAGGAGGGTGAGACAACACGCTGGCACATGTGGGGAATGCAGGCCCACTCTCCCCCCCTCCACCCCTCCC